CTTGGCAAACTTGCCAAGAGAAGACAGAGTCAGACTCTGCTCATAGTGGCCCTGAGAAAGCACAACAGCCATGACTTGCAACAATCCTGGTGAGCACTAGGAAAAGCCTCTCCCCAGGGCATGTTTCAGCACTGGTGTGGGTACCTCAGGAAGCTGAGGAATCAAGTTTCCAGAAAGCTCTGCTGGAGCCTCAGCCAGGACTGACCCCTTGCCCCAGGAGATGCTTTTAGGCTGGTGCTCTTGCCCTTGGCTCCTGTCTGAGGAGTCTGGCCTGTGTCTGATGGTGCAATCTATGGATCTAGACCTGTGGATAGGCTTCCTGGCTTGACCCAAGACCTACCTTGTCATGATGGACTCGTCAGCCAGTCTCTGGACTGTGGCTCACCCTGGTTCCTGCTGTCAGACCTGATCCTGATGCTGACTTGACTTCTTACTTTGACCTTGGACCTGCCTCATCACCACAAGCTTGTCTGATGATCCGGATTCTTGGCTGAACCTGGCTATCTGCCTGTACCTGCCTTTGTCCCCTTGCTTAGATGCTTTCCCTTGCTGGCTTAGCCTCTTCCTCTGCCTGCCTTGTTACCTGCCTGGATCTCAGCTCTTGTGTTCCTTTAGGGAGCTGCCAGCCCTCACTGCCCCCAGCAACCTGCTGTGAGCAGGCAGTCTCAGAGGTCCCTTCTCACATGAATCTTTCTGTGTGCTTGTAACAGCACTCTTGCCAAGTTATAAGGAAACAAAAATCTAACTCCTCTGGGCAGGGAAGAAAACATAGCTGTGAAGGTATTGTGTTGATGCTTAGGTGCATGGTGCATTAGATCAGGGAAAGGAGAAAGGACCAGAGGGACAGGGACAAGGAAAGGGGACTAGGAAGGAGGAAGGTGGTGGAAGGTTTGTAAATAGACAGCAGTAATATCACTCCGATAGCCCATAATTCCCAGGACAAAAGGGTAACACAAGAGATGCACACCGCTCTGTTTCCTCTCCAGCTACACCATGTCACAAAGGATTCATGGCAGTCCTGAGTTTTTAAAATAGAAATATCTGCTGCCCTACAACCCCTCTTCCACCACTCTCCCTGCGTCTCTTGGGCACCACTAAATGTTCTTCATCTGCAAATGGATTTCAAGGCTGCTCTGCTGGTGATGCATGGGCTGAGCAAGGGGACAGAGCTGGCTCACATGCACTCGCTAGGGCATATGTCTCACAGGCAGCCTGTGACACAAGGATGTCTCTGTGGAGAGGCTCATCATCTTCTATAGGTCTTCTTGAAGACCTGCTTCTGCAGTCATCTCTAATAAACGAGAGGGTCTTCAAGGGGGACTGGAAAAATGGGTTTAAAACCCGATATCTCCTAGCACAAACCTGTGATGTATTACAATGCATTTATTCCCACAGCAGCCATGAGGTAGGAACTTGAAACCAGATTTATTGCTTATTGAGAAGTCTAAAAACTATAAACCCTAGCACTTTGGGCTGCATTTCTTGTCACTTTCCCTGACCTTTCCTTTAACATTAAAAAAACCAAAACCAAACCACTGTAATGGATCCACTCCAGAATAGCCCGAGACCTTCTGGAAGCCACAAAAAGAGGCTGTTTTGCAGTGCAATTGGAAATGCAACCCTTGGCCATCAGCAGGAATGAAAAACTGTGGCTTCTAGCACTGCCTGTGTACAGCTGGATCTTGCTTCTGGGGAGATTTATAGGGCTTTCACATACAGTGCAGCCTGAAAAAGCATGTACAAACAGTGCAAGCAAATACATTTCACCACAGCCTCATTCTGTGACATCATTTCTTTTCAACAGTGAAAATCACTCAGACCTGAAATTAATCATCCTATACAGGGGCCAGCAACAAGAGAGTGCAAAGCACTAACGTCAGCATGAGCTTCTGACACGATGACAATTTTGGTATCCTCTCTTTTTTTCTGGGACCATTTGGAATGTAGTTTTTAAAGTATGCTAGTGCTTCCCAAGCCATTTTGCCTTAGGTAAATGTATAGCCATTGTGCCAAGCGTGTGTGTGTGTGTGTGTGTGTGTAAGATTGTTTTGCTAAGGTCAGTGATTTTCTATGCAATTAGGAACCTATTTTCTGCAAGATTACTGAAAACTCAGCTATTCTCCTTGACCTCAACAAAGCTTGCTAAATGCTTCAGTTCTTTTGGAAAATTAAGATACTCATTTAGGTGTCCTGAGCTGGACCTATGACTCAAATTGAAACATCTGCTCAAAGGTTTTCCTCAGCCACTGCTAGTAAATTCACTTTGTCAGCAGTGAGTATCATATCTGTGACCTGATGATCCCCAGAACTGCCTCAGGCTACAGGGCAGCCAGGAGCTACTCAGACAGGATGGACTTGCTATAGGAATTCATTCTGGCTGGACCTAGACACACTAACTTTATTTCAAATCCTTGTTCCCCACTGTGTTTTCCTGTACCAAAAGAGTCAGGTATGACCATGTCACGAAGATACCTCTGTTTATTCAAAACAACCTTTCATCCTTCAGCTCTGCATCATCACCTTCACCCACAGACAGTCTGCTGTGCTCCCTCAAACATGTTTTCTGTATCCCACAGGCTTGCTGTGGTTATTGCATGGGTGACTCTGCAATGGTGTGGCTTTCCCGGGCTTAAATTTCCGAGTCCTCAATAGGGCCGTTCAGAAATACTGCAGTAGGAAGTGGCGGTGAGCATTCATTGGGACGGATAAAGTTTTCAGGTGGGAACAGTTTTACTTTAGACGCAACGTGGTCTCGGGTTGACTTACTCTCCACAATCTGATGCTTAAGCGTTCCCATCTCTGAGTCCCAGGCTTGTCCCCTCCGCAATTTCTTGAAGGTGTTCCGGAAACCCTCAGTGCTAAAGTAGTAGATCAAGGGGTCCAGTGTGCAGTTCATGCTGGCCAACATCATGGTTATAATTAACGCTTGGCGCACAGAGGCCTGTGTTTCCTCCTCAACCTTCATCACCCGGGCCTTTATCATCCCATAAACCGCCAGGGTAGTGTTGTAGGGCACAAAGCAGATGATGAAGATGACCAGATTGACCAAGAGGAGACGGACAGTCTTCTGCTGTCGCAGGGTCTTCGTCTGGCTGGGCTGGCAGAGCTCCCGAAAGATCCGGATTGAGCAGTATGTCACAGAGCTGAGAGGAAGGAGAAACCCCAAGATTTCAGCCAGGATTACCAGGGGGAAGAGGTTATTCTGCCACATGTTGTCGCTAAAGCTTTCAAAGCACAGATAAATGGTCTGGTTTTTTACTTTACAGTGGTTTTGCTTGTGGACTATGGCTGTGGGGATTGAGCCCATGAAGATCACAACCCAGACGATGAAGCAGAGGAGCTTGGCCACCTTGGGGCGCCGCAGATGCCGCCAGCGAAGCGGGTGAACAATGGCAACGTAGCGATCCAGGTTGATGCACATCAGGAAGAGGCAGCTACCGTACATGTTGATCTGGAAGACTGAGCCAGAGACCTGGCACAGGATGCTACCAAAGGGCCAGTGGTGGTTGGAATAGTAGTAGAGTCGCAGGGGCAGAGGAAGTGTGAAGCTGAGGTCGCTTATGGCCAGGTTCAACATGTAGATCATCACTACAGACTTCAGGCGCAGGTATCGGATGAATATCCACAGGGCTACCACATTGAGTATCAAACCTGTGATGAATATCAGGGTGTAGCCAGGCATGAGGAGGTGGTGGTTGAAGGTGTAATCCTTGCATGTCTGAGATGTATTGGACGTATTGGATGTATTGGATGCTGACATGCCCAGCATGGATCAGGGGATGGTCTCGCTGAGGTGGCTGAGCCTGTTGGTGGGATGAGGAGACACAAAGAAGAGCACTGAGGGATGTTGTTCCCCTCTGAGAAGCCACGGGCAGGTCATTCCTGTCATCTGCAGCTGGGAGGTAGATGGGCAATATCTCTCTTGGCTGGCACTGCTTTGGATTGCGGCTCTGTGGTCATCTGGAAGGGATGGTAATGTGGAGGCTGCTTCTGCCCCTAGCTCAGCAGTTCTTTCCAGTGGTTATGAGGTGATAAGGTGATGGAGGATCATTGCCAGCTGTCAGTACAATTCCTGGTCAGAGTGGGAGATCAAAACAGAAGAGTTTAAGTTAGAGGAGGAAATCTCTGGAAATGTTAAAATCCCACCATGGTGGAGTCTGCAGCAAGAGCTCACAAAGAAACCAAAAGATGGGGGAAAATGGACACTATAAAAGTGAGTAATTACGTGGCAGAAGAAGACAGAGCACAGAGAAGGTGGTTGTTGTACAGAATCATTTATCACCCAGCCCCAGAAAATGAACTTTGCTTTGATCACTGCTGAGAGCACATGAATACAAGAAAGGGACACCACAAGCACACAGGGTAAGTAGCTGAGGCAGCTCCAGACAAAGAGAAAGAAAAAGAAGAGAGCAGAATTTTGAAGGAAAAATGCTGAGTGGAAGGAACTGAAAATAAAGGTGGCATAATATTGTTTTATATCAGAGAAAAAGGACTTTGTACATCCATTTCAGATAAAAAATTTGCAGTACAGTTAGACCCGACTCCACCCAAGCTCCTTTTCTTACGTAAAACAACACGCACAAACCTCAGTTCCAGGCACTTTGAGTTCCTTATGTTTCTTACATTCATACAGTTCCTTTGTTGTCCTTACTTGCATGGGACCAGTGGTGCTTATTTGGATCGTATGTCCTCATTCTGCTGCTTATAACACCCTAAAGCTTGAAGCAGCCCATGTCCCAGGAATGCAGAGCAGCACAGGGGAGCACAGTAAAAAAGGAAGTGCCATGGGACTCCCTCATAAGAGTTCATGTAGACTGTGATTTATTTCAAAAGGAAAGTAGAATTTTCTGTCTAGAGAATATTTTACATGAGGTTGATATTACTCAGCAGCCTGACAGGTAGGTCAAGCACATCAGACCTTCTGCATGGCATTGTGTGGCAACACACAGATCCAGAGGGAATCTGATGCAGACAGAAGAGTGTGCTGACCTCATAGAGAGGAAGAGAACCATTCTGGCAACAGCATGTTGCCAGACAATTGCCAGACATTTCCAACAATGGAAGTGGAAACCTAATACAAGAGTGTAGGCAGCTACCAACTTGCCCATCCTTTTGTGTTGTTGTGCAGGTCCATCACCAAAACAGGTTTCTTAGAGAAACTTCTACTGGTTTATCAAACTATATCTGAGTGGATTCTACCCTTCCTGGTGGATGAATACTTTGCATGAAGTCTCGTGCAAGTTTGGAATATAAGATGACAAGGCAAAAGTGCAAGAATGTTGTTGGTTTCAAGTGAAATGTTTCATGCTTCAAGAGATCTCAAGGAGAAGCACCGCCAGTGATCAAAGGAGGTGATTGTCCTGCTCTGCTCTGCAGTGGTGCAGCCTCAGCTTGAGTTCTGTGTGCAGTTTTGGGCAATATAAAAAAGACATTGAGCTATTAGAGAGTGTGCAAAGGAGGGCCATGAGGATGGTGAAGGACCTTGACGGGAAACTGTGTGAGAAGCAGCTGAGGTCACTTGGTCTGTTCTGCCTGGAGAAGAGGAGACTGAGGGGAGACCTCACTGCAGTCTGAAACTTCCTTGAGAGGGGAAGAGGATGGGCAGGCACTGATCTCTTCTCTGTGGTGAGAGCCATGTCAGGATCCCAGGGAATGTCCTGAAGTTGTGTCAGGGAGGTTTAGGTTGGATCTTAGAAGGTTCTTCACCCAGAGGGTGGTTGGGCACTGGAACAGGCTCCCCAGGGCAGTGGTCACAGCACCAAGCCTGACAGAGCTCAAGAAGTGTTTGGACAACGGTCTCAGTCACAGGGTGTGATTCTTGGGATATCCTGTGCAATGCCAGGAGCTAGACTTGCTGATCCTTGATGATCCTGATAGGTCCCTTCCAACTCAGTATATTCTGTGATCTATAATTCTAGGAGAATATGTCAACTTTTGTTAGAGCCCAAACCCTGCAATGAACTGCAGACTGAACAGAGTGGTCAGACCTTTATCTTGATGGAAGCAAAGTTACTGAGACTGTGACTTAGTGAGTGACCACGACCTGCTGTAACACATGTACTCAGACCAGCCAGATGTCAGGTGAAAAGGACTAATCTCTACAGACAACGTGTTTTTTCAAGTCTTCCAGAGGTATTAACAGATCTAGAGAATATAATATGTAAGCACAGTCCATGCTGTGTCAGGCTTTCTACCACTAATATTCCATCTCAAATTGTGGATGGTGAAGGGATTGTGTTAAGAACAGTACAATCATGTAGTTACACTGCCTCAAGCTGTCTTCCTGCTTCCAGCATAAACAGCTCAGGAATTTCTTGAGCCATAAGTGACCTAGTTGTATTCAGTAGTCCTCAGGGAACTTTTATTTCATTGGGTTTTTTTCAGTAATTTTTTGAGTTGATGTAAAATTTACCACCTACATTATCCAGTGCCAGGAGTGCCAAGGAGTTCCACAGCTTACTTGTGCCCCAGGTGAAGAATCATTTCCATATACCCATCTCTGATTCATCATTTGCTAGATTCAGTTCTTAGCTTTAGTGCTGGAAGAGACAGGGCAAAACCCATCCCTTTTCACCCTCATTTCATGGCTGATAATACTATAAACGTCTACCATACTCCCACTCAGCAACTTTTTTTTTTTTTTTTTCAGGCTAAAGGGTCCTTGTCTTCATGGTTTTTCCTTGCAGAGAAGCTATTCTGTACTTTTGATCATCTTTGTTGCTCTTCTCAGCACCTTTCTGCTTCTGCTACAGCCTTTGTGAGCCCTGTGCTGGGGTGCTGAAAACACACAGTGCTGATGATGTGGATGCACTGAGCTGCGTAGGTGTAGATCTCATTTGCAAGTGGTAATGGTCAGTTCAGTTTGCTTTTTCCCATCACTTCACTAGATAAAGTCTCAGCTGTTAGTTTAAGTCCAGTCACTCACACTTCTCTTAATCTCTGCAGTTCTTCGCAGCCAAACCTCATCTTTTTAAACTTGAATAATTTTATGTCTCCAACAGATTTGTTATTTTATTATTCATCCCTCATGAATAAGTCAAACAGTCCAAGCCACAGCACAGGTGTCTGACAACTCCAGTGAGAAAAACAACCATCTACCTTCACTCTCTGTCCATTCTTTTAGGCACTTTTTATCCAAATAGGAACATTTTCTTTAATTTTTTTTTAAAGTGCCATTGGTGAGACTAGCTTTGAAAGCCTTCTGGAAATCCACATGGGCCACTGTTCACATGCTTATTTAGCCCTTTAAGGAAGAACTGTGGGAACAGCATTCCTTTGTAAAAGCCACGATGACTTTTCCCCAGTAATTAGATGTGACCACATGCCATTTGATTTTTTCCTTTATTATAGCTTCTGCTAATTTGTTCAGCCAAACCATCAGGCTCCCTAGTCTGAAACCCCCCAAGAGCTTTTTCTTAAATTGAGTCTGTCTTTAAGAGCTGTTTTAAGCAAAGGTTTCTATAGCACTATTAGTCAGGTCTTCCACCCTTCAGTTATTTCAGTGTGGTTTTGGACACTGTTTAGTTCATCTTGCTGCTCTGTGGTTGATCCTACTACAGTTTTGACCAGAGACAGTCCTTTTATGAACTTCCCATAATGTGAGTTTCTGCTGTGGAAATCTCCCAGGCTTTTGTGACATGAATACCAGTGAAAGAATCCATTTTTTTTGCCCACCATCACATTTTCTTTCTTTTCTGAGGGGTCTTTCCTTACACACTCTAACCTTTCAGCCTTCAAGATGGAACAGCACAGTTCTAAACTGGCAGCAAAGATCACTGAGAGCAGAAAATAGATTGGGGTTTTTGAGGGGATTTTTTTTGTGGGTAGATGGAAACACAGAAGAAAGAGTCTGCTGGGTGCTGGTATGGAAAAGCCATACTAAGCTGATTGTCTCAGACTTACCACAACAGACACTGTGACAAAGACTTGAAATGAGATGTATGCAGACACAGTCATTGGAAAGATGAAGTCGTGGGTGTGGAAAGTTTCTCCAGTGAGCTTTGGAGGTCCTGCTTTGACTGTCCCTCTCTAAAAAGGAAATCTATGGGTAGGTAAAGCAGGCTGGCAGCAGGGAGACCGATTATCCTTGCTGGTTAATGTCTGAGAGTCAAGAGGCATGTTCTTTGTGGCTGCCTCTGAAAGAATCCCAAGTACTCTGCACGAAAGCTGCCAAGAGATCCCAAGCCACCGGTGGGCTGTGTAAGGAGGCAGTGGTACCACAGCTGAATAATCCTCCTCCTCACAACAAGATCCTCTTTTTAAATCCTGAAGAAACTCTCTGTTTGGTGACTGACCTTATATGTCCCAGGAGGTGGAGGAAGCATTTTTTTCTCTCTTCAATTTGAGACCCTGAATACCATCAACTGTGAATACCAAGACTGTGACTTGCAAAATCCATGGGATTTTGACATTTTTCTTTTGGAGGGTGAAAAGCCCTAAATGTACTTGCATACAGGGTACAGGACATGCAGGCATGCCCTGAGTTGGGATGTGTGCCTGGCACCCTGCTGCCTGGTCCTGGGAATCCTCTCTCTCCTGGCACTGTCTTACTAGCAGTCACTGCCTCCAAGCACTACAAAAATGATGAAGAATCTGAGTATGGGGCTGAGAAATGAAGTGGAAAAAGAAAGCTGGAAAAATACTGATGAGCATGCTGCAGGGACAGTGTTTCACTGTGACAGTGGATTGTCACTAAAAACCACGAGGAGTTTTGGGACTACTGTAAGAATGCAGAGAGCAAATGTATTATTGAGGTGCAGAACTTAAAACACAAACTGCATAAGCTCGCTTACTTAATCTGAAATCAAAGAGGAAACAACAAAAATGTGTCAAACCTCAGAAAATGCACCTGACTTTACTCTAGAAATTGGAGATATATTTTTTTAATAATTATGGGTGCTTTTTGCCTGTTGTTGGTGACATTAAATCCCACTTTTATCTTTTTTTCTACACAAGAAATTAGATTTTTGTGTTGATTAGGATCTTGAAGACATTCAAGGCTTATGATAGCTTGTTTTTAGGGAGAGACACATGATATATAAGCTGAGACCTCTGTATTTAACTCCTGAGGTTTGATCACACTGCTATTGCCTCCTCCCTAGAGATGCCACCCCTCCTCATCTCCTGAGAATCCCGTGGAAGAGGGCTCCCATGGTGGGCACCTTGGCAAGTAAGCTCTGCAGGCTGCCTGTGCTTTCAGTATCACAGGATCCCAAAGGAAGCCCCAGTTTGAATAAAGCCAGAGATGTGCCTTGCACCTCCTTGTCCACGGGGCAGCTGAGGAGGGGCAGATGTCCCCCAGGGCCCCGTGGTCAGGCCTGGCAGCACGTGCACAGCAGCTCACGGGTGCCCAGCGTGCCAGACCATCCGGCTCTCCAGATGTTCCCTCCTGCCTTACCTCGCTGCTGGAGAAGAGCCAAGCGTGGATGCCGGCTTGCTGCTCCCTGAGTGCTCCCACTGCAGAGGTCTCGATCCCGGCACCAAAGCAGCTTGGATCAGAACAGAACCGGGCGGGCTCTTCATCCAAATCACAGCTGTCCCCTACCGCGCTACGGCTGATTCTACATCTGGCATGCTGCAGTTTGACTCTTCTCCTTTCTCACTTCCTGATGCACTTCTGCCTGGCTACAAAGCATGAACTTTGTTATCAAAAGCTGATAAGCTAAACCACATCCTACAACAGCAAATGCAATCATGAAAGAAGCAGTACCCAGGTGTCCTTGCAACTGAGGAGACCTGCCCTGGGTCATAGTGCCAAATACGTGCTTGTCTTGCTAACTCAGCCACCCCCAGGACTGACAGAGAGAAAATAAAACATCTCTCTCCCCAAAATATTGCTAAACAGGAGGTAGAAGTGAAATACAGGAAGTGAGAGCAAAGTTGATTTAATTGCTAGCCCGCACAAAGACTTGGAGTCCTGTCACTCCCCTGGGCTAGGGTGCTTTGGGATCGAACTCCTTCCCAGGGGTCCAGCTGTGCACTGCTGGCATGTGGCAGGGTCCCAAAAAGAACCAGGCTGGGAAGAAGTGTCATTATCTGTGGCAAGCAAAGACATGTTTGCCACGAACCTCTGTCCCTCTTCAAGGCTACAGGAGGCACAGTGCTATGGGAGTACAAGGGCTGATTTACCGGGACATCTGTGACCTGGCACTGCCACGTGTAGCTGGGAAGGGACCTTGTGCAGAGCCCATCTGGCACTCTATTGCTTCGAGTCCTATTTCTGCTTTGCCAGTCTCAGCACATCTGGAAGAAGACACGAGTCGTGGCGACACTTCTAATCCCACTGCCACCCTGCCCCACGAACAGCTGCCCTGGGAAGTTGCTGTGGGCTCCCTTTCTCTGCAGCCCTTGTCTGCTGGTGCTTGATTTTCTCACCCCCTGCCTCCCTTGTTCTGCTGTTAGTGACTCCTCATTCAGGGAATGACACACCATTGGATATATGTTCTGGCTGCCCATAAATCCTTGGAGGGCACAATAGCACCCAAACCACTGAGTTCACCCTGCTTCTTTTCAGTGCCTCCCTTTTTTAACCAGACCCCTTTCCTCGCTTGCTAGTTGCTGGGATCTTTGTTCTCACGGCTTTTTGTGTCTCTTCAGTTCCCGTCAAGGCGTTGCTACTGATAAAAGCTTGCAGATATGCCACGGGGGGTGTCCTTTGCCTAAGGAGTGTCTGACACATTCTGTGGGAACTTCCCCCTCCCCTGCAGCCTTCACCCCTCACACACATGAGCACACACACACCTGGCTGAGCCCGGCAGTCCTGCCTTTTCCATGTGTGAGAAGACAAGGACACAGCGGCACCCAGCCCAGCCCATGAGCCCCACAGCATCCTCACCCAGCCAAGTTCACTCACCCCCTCGGGTCTCGGTGCAGCAGCCCACGAGTTGTGTCCCCTCACCGGGTGGGCTCACACGTCTGCCCCTCGCTGTCTCTTGGAGGCTCAGCTCGTGGGGAAGAGCAGCTCAAGCCCCAGCGTTTCCTCACTGCTGTTGGAGTGAGCAGCAGGTAAGACCAGATTACTGGGGTGTGTGTTGGAGGCTACACCCTGATGCTGCAGATCCCAACATGCCTGCCACCCCGCAGTGCTGGCTCCAGAAAGCAGGAGCAAGGACCCAACAGGAGGAGGGATGCAGGGAGCTGGGAAGGCAAGGAGAGAGGTGAAAGAGAGAGGCTGCCCAGGTCTGAAAGGATGACTGATAAACCATAGTGCTCTTCAGACCTCTTTGTGCAGCAGAGTGTGGGAGAGCAGAGCAAAGGGGTGAATCCTTTCATGGAAGAAGCACAGCAGGGCCAGAATAGCCCTGCTTCATTTTCTGAATGATTCAGACAGGAAAAGCAGAAACCTGTGGCTGCTGAGGTGTTTTTCCTTCCAAGTCACTGGCAAGAGCTGGCACTTCCCAGGCTGGCTGTGGGAATGGCAGTCTTTTGTCCCGGGACGTTTCAGCTCCCTGGTCACACTTTCCTGGCTCACATTTTCCTGGGCTCCCAGGGGCTCTTAGGAAAGGGGTACCCAATGAGAAGGGGGGCAGCCACCCCATTGTGCCTCCTAGGAGAAGGGCAAGGACTGATCTTGGGGAAGGACAGTTCATAGGGAAGAAAATGAGGGAGGGGAAGGGAGACCTGCCAGGGAAAGAGTTAAGAGTCAGGGAGCAGCTGGGCTGCGTCTGTTTGCTGTAGCTATGTGGGCTGCAGGGTAGAAAAGAAGAATCTCCAGCCTGGAGGAGGCAGATGAGGGAGTGTCTTGAAGAACAGTGGATGTGGGTGAGGGAGGCAGCAGGTCTTCTTCTCTCTGCTGAGGAGCTGTCGCTGCAGGGAAGCTCTCTCCCCAAAGGGCTTGGTGACACACAGGTGACGAGCTGGTAGATCTGGCAGCAGCTGCGTGGTGCTGCTGCGATCTTGTGCGGAAGGCTGTGTCTGCTGCTGAGCGCGTCTTGGGCTGCCTCCTGCTGAAGAAGTGACTGGACTGTGGAGGAAGACAACCCCATCATCTGCTGGCAGGATGGCACAGGCCACGGGTGTGACACAGATGCTGTCCCCATCCATGTGAGCTCTCTGTGACAGATGCCAGCCCCAGAGCCCTAGCTCAGAGCTCTCCCACCGTGCTGCCCGAGCTGTAGCACTGGTGTGGACGACCTCACAGGGGCAACCCAGCAGGGTTCTGCAGGCTACAGGGTCTCCAATGCTGGCAGGCACCACACATGGACAGCCCACGGTCACTGCAGTGCTGGAGCTGCTGTGAAAGGCGCTGTTGGGCAGAGGCCGTGGGAAGCGACAGGAGGGGATTCAGGCGGCTGCTGTGCGGGGGCTGGAGGTGGTGAAGTTTTGCCACGGACAGGATGGAGCTGGTGTGGCTGCAGGTGATGCTGATCCACGTGCAGCATGTCGCTGCCGTGACCTGGCTGTAAGTATGCTTTGTGCTTGTGTTGTCTGGGTTGGAAAGCCACCTGGGGAGATGCTGTCTCCAAATAAAACAGGGTGAGAACAGGGTGGAAGGAGGAATCTGGGCAACCAAAAAGCAGAAGGGGCATCACTGGGATGGAGGGAGAGGGATGGTAAGGCTGAGGAGGAGCAGACCAGAATGGGCAGCAAGAATGTCTGATTCACAGACAACATGGCCACAGCCCTTTCCATGCCCCATTTCTGCTTTAAGATATGGCTAGAGAAGGTTAGTCCTGCAGAGGTGAGGCCCTGGCTCTAGCCCATCTGCAGCTGAACCTCTCCCCTGCCCCACAGGTCCCTGGCCAAGCAGCTTTCCCTGCAGGCAGCCCTCCGGGACCCCAGGGGCTGTGATGGCCTGATGGGGCAGGTGGAAGAGCAGGTGGAAGCCATGGAGGCGGTGAAGTGAGGTGTGGAGCTGGCTGCCCTCGAGTGCCAGCACCAGCTCCACTCTCGCCACTGGAACTGCTCCACCCTGCAGGGGCTGCAGGTCTTGGGCAAAGCCACCATCCAAGGTCAGCGAGGGAGGGGTGGCGCAGACAGGCTTGGCATGGTGTCCCTCCAGCATGCCTACTGTGCCCTTGGCACATCAGCCTAGTGTGCCAGAATTGCACTGCACTCATCCCCAGAGTGGCCAGTCATCTTTTCCACATGCTAACAAGTCTGTCAGCACAGAGCAAACTGAACCAAACGCTCTCACAAATATTAGCATTCTGGAGAAACTCCTTCCTTTTTGGCCAGATTTGACATTTTGGTCCCATCGGAGCATCCTGGGTACCACCTCTGCAGACTGGTAGATTTTCTCCCTGACCCTGCCACCCACCCTGCCACAGAGCCACGTCACTTACTGACTCCCTGCACACCCTGGTGAACACCATGACATGTATTTCTCCCGAGCAGTCTCCATCAGAAGGCATGAAGTCTCCATCCTTCCTGCGTGCAGTGACAGCCTCTTTTCCCACCCTGTGCCCCATAAGTGCCTTTGCCCTCTGCAGCTTGGTGCCATCTCTTGTCCCGCTGCAGGCACGCAGCAGTTGGCTTTCATCCATGCCATCTCTGCTGCCAGCTTTGCTTCTGCTGTCACCTGTGCCTGCAGCCACGGGGAGCAGCACAAGTGTGGCTGTGACCACAAGATCCGAGGAGTCAGCCCTGAAGGTGGAAGAAGAAAGGGGCAGCAGGGAGAAGGTGGCAGAGGGGAAGGTCCTTGGGGGAGACAGACCTGAAAAGGAGACACTTTCATTCTCCACAGATCTTTGGGAGATCTTCTCAGGGATTCTCTTTCCTTGTTTCAAGGCTGCTTTCCCTCTGCAGGTTTCCAGTGGTCAGGCTGCTCTGATAACCTGTTTTATGGGATTGACTTCTCTCAGGCCTTCGTGGACAGCCCTGAGAGGAGCCGTGGTGTCTCCTCCAGCCAAATGCTCATCAACCTGCACAACAATGAGGCAGGGAGGAAGGTAAGGGCAGGAGCAAGGGCTGGGAGCAAACCTGGCTGCAGGGGCTTCTCCCTGTCTTGGCAGAGCTCAGTCCAGCCCCCACACCCCAACAGGGCAGCCCCATGCTCCCAGAGGAGTCTGCATCCTGCTGCCTTTCCTGGCCCAGCACTGTGCTGATTACCCTGAGCTGGCTCCTGCCTGCGTGGAGGGGGGTCCCAGCCTCCCCTCCACTCTTCTGTGCAGTCTCCTTTTCCTCACACCCCACCTATCATTTAGGAAATAATTCACTCTATTCTGCTCTGAAGGGCTTCCCTGCCCCTCCAGCACCTCTTCAATAAAGAAAGACAGCTGCAGGGGCTGCAGTCAGATCTGGGCTGTTGTGGTTTGAGTTATTTTTTCAGATGGAGGGTTGGAGGACACAAGCCAAATAAACCACTAAAGTTGAGAAAAAACCCCAGCTGCAGTGAAAGGCAAAGTGCACACAAAACCTTCTTGCTCCCATGCTGTGTTTGGAGCCTGGAGAGTCCCTGTCTCTGGTCCCTCCCCCGACTCTGGACACAACTCTGGAAATGCCTTCTCCAGTGCTCAGCTGTTCCTTTGGCTGGAGAAATGTTTCCAAGAGGAGTTCCAGCAGCTGCCACAGTGAGGCTCTCCTCATTCAGGCTGACCTCAGTGCCAGGGAATGTGATGGAACAAATTATCCTAAATGCAATCCCACAGCACAACCAGGGAATCGGCCCTAGCCAGGGTGGGTTCAGAAAAGGCAGGTCCTGCTTGACCAGCCTGGTCTCCCTTTATGACCAGGTGACCTACTTAGGCATGAGGGAAATGCTGTGCATGTTGTGGGCTGGACTCAATAAAGCCTTTGACACCACTTCCCACAGCATTCTCCTGGAGAAGCTGGCAGCCCATGGCCCGAGCAGGGGCATTCTGTGCTGGGTTAAAACCCGGCTGTGTGGCGGGCCCAGGGAGTGGGGGTGTGTGGAGTTACATCCACCTGGTCACCAGGGGGGTTCCCAGGGCTCAGTCCTGGGTAAAAACTTTATCAGTGATCTGGAGGAGGAGGGGATCCAGGGCCCTCAGTCAGTTTGCAGGAGACACCAAGCTGGGTGGGAGCATTGATCTGCATAGGGCTCTGCAGGGGGATCTGGACAGGCTGGATCCAGGGGCTGACATGGACAGTTGTGTGAAGTTCAATCAGGCCAAGTGCCAGGTCCTGCTTTTCAGTCAGAACAACCCCAGGCAGCACCACAGGCTGGGGACAGAGTGGCTGGGAAGCTGCCCAGAGGAAAAGGACCTGGGGGTGCTGGTGACAGAGCTGAACATGAGCCAGCCGTGCCCAGGTGGCCAAAAAGGCCAATGGCTCCTGGCCTGTGTCAGGAAGAGTGTGGCCAGCAGGAGCAGGACAGTGACTGATCCTGCATTCTGCAATGGTGAGGCCACACCTCGAGTTCTGTGTCCAGTTCTGGGCCCCTCACTGCAAGAAAGACATGGAGGGGCTGGAGTGAGTCCAGAGAAGGGCAACAAAGCCTGTGAAGGGTCTGGAGTGGCTAAAGAAGCTGGGGTTGGAGAAAAGCCTGGAGAAAAGGAGGCTCAGGGGAGCCCTGATCACTCTCTACAGCTCCCTGAAAGAGGGGGCAGCCAGGTGGGAGTTGGTCTCTTCTCCCAGGCAACCAGTGACAGGACAAGAAGAAATGGCTCCAAGCTGTGCCAGGGGAGGTTCAGGATATTATGAAAAACATTTCTCCACTGAAAGGGTGATCAGGCATTGGAACAGGCTCCCCAGGGAAGTGGTGGAATCACTTCCATCCCTGGAAGTGTTCAAAAGACAAGTAGATGTGGCACTTTGTGATATGGTTTAGACGGCATGGTAGTATTTGGTCAAAGGCCTTGACTATCTTGAAGGTCTTTACAAACTTTATTAACTTTCAGATTCCTGCTTGGAGAGGCTGTGGAATATCTCTTGCCACAGCTGCACCTCCTCGTCTCCCTCCTTTGCACTCAGCACCCTGTAGCTCTTGTAAGGCTTGCATTCCATGGGAGCCACCTGCAAGGAGAGCCTGGGTTTGTGGGAGTGGTACCTCTGCCCATCCTTTCCCAAGGAAAGAGATCTCCATGGTGGATGGCATCTGGAGGGATGATGGGGGCACCAGGGGGAAGAGGGGAGGACCAGCTGAGCTGGCAGCTCAACTGTGTGCTTGCTAGGATACAGGACAGTCCTCTGTCCTGCTCTGGTGATTTGGGGTTTTGTTACTGCCTAGAAAGCTCCCAGCAGATGGGGGAGATCCTGCCCTTAAGGGATATCATCCTTCACATCATCTGTACAAGTCTCACCCACCACTGACACCCCAGTTGTGCTGGGGCCTCTATTTGTTCTGCCACCTCCCCCAGACACACCCAGTTCTGTCCTAGAAGGAAAAGCAGTGGGCCAGTGAGCCCAGCAGGGACTCGGGGCTGGCTGTGGAGGGGTCAGCCATGGAAGAGCAGGCTGTGCAAAAGGCAGCGTGGCTGCTTCTCACCCTCTGGTTGTAGATGCTCTTCAGGAGACACTGGTAGCTCTTGAACATGCAGTAGCTGGGATGCTGATTTCCTCTCGAGTCACAGATCTGATGCCAAGGGAATGAAGGTCAGAGAAAGAATAGGAGAAGGGGGGATGGGAACGTCCACTGATGGTCACCCACCTTTCCTGAGCCATCCCCGTTTTGGAAGGCTTCATACTCTGCCTTCAGCCAGAGGGTCACAGCAGGCTCCTCACAGCCATAGATGGCCATCTGGCTGCACCAGTACTCCAACCTCATCCCTCTCAAAAAGTCCATGTTGTAGCCCTCCAGGGTCTCTGAGGACATGGGCTGCAAAGGGGTGGGACAAAGTGAGCCATGCTTCTTCCTCCCCTTCCCCAGCTCCCAGTCCAGGCTCCTCCTGATACAGCAGCAGGACATACAGCTCGCTCGGTACCTTGCCCTCCTCGTCCCCGAGCTGGGCCGAGATCTGAGGGTTGATGTAGGTGGAGAAGCTGTCCGAGTCACAATGAACACGGTTCAGGGTCTTGATGTTCTGGCACTGCTCCCTCTTCAGCGAGCAGAAAGCACAGGCAGGGCACAGGTCCAAGTGGTGCCGCCCAAGGTTGTCACACACCTGGGGTGGATGCAGCGGTCAGGGGGAAGAGGAGGCTAAGAACCTCCCAAAACAGGGGGCTGAGGAGTTCCCATATTCCTGGCTTGGAATTCCTGCCTCCCTGGTCACCCAGGTCAGCTTCTCTCGGGAGGTGGCCTGCACACAGTGGGGGCCAGGGGTGGACACTGGTGTCTTTACCGAGTCTCCGAACCCAAAGTTTTTTTTCTCCATCTCCTTCCAGGCCATGGCGAGCATCGAGGAGAGGCAATCTCCCTCCAGCACTGCGTAGCACAGGATCAGCACCGCCTCATCGTTCTGCAGGGCTAGAAGGCTGACAGAAAGGGAAGGAGGGAGTCATCTCATTCCTTGTCACACACTGAAGAGATGCATCTTTAGTTAGAAACTGAAAACAATCCCAAAACTAAGCGAAAAATCCCTTCCCCAAGAAACCTTGGACTCTTGGCTAAACTGCACAGAGGGATGGGGCTCTCTGCAGGGTGTGTACCTCTCTCTGCGGGGTTGCTGTGCATTTGGGGGCATGTGAGAGGGACTGGATGAAGAGCACAGCTTGAAGAGCTTTCCCAGAGCCCCTGCAGCAGCTGTTGCCTAATTTCATCTGTTGGAGTGCACAGTGAGGAGATGTTTTTTAGATGTCTGCTGAGTGTTGAAGGTTGGGCAGCCCCGTTTGGGTCTGGAGAATGTCACATATTAAGCCTCCTTCCCAAGTATTTGACAGAAACAGGGAAAAACTTGTTGAGCACTGTTCATCCAAACTGACATGGGTAGCTAAAAGTAGAAAATGTCAGGACAATGGGATCAGAGCAATGAGAATATTTGGCATCTCTTAGGAACAATGGAATTTGTAAACATGGTACACAACTGTTAGCAGACAGGGATGGTTGGTTTCAGTCATCATCAATGATGCAGAAGAGGTAAACATGCTCATTAGATATTTGCCTCTTGTGTCTGGAAACAAAGCCAGTGATAAATAAACAAACTTTGATCTGACAGAGAGTAAAGAAGAGCAGCTTATGTTAAAATGCTCTTAAAATCCATGCATGGGCTAACATGTACGGACAAGCTTTCCTGAGAATAGCTGAAACTTTTTGGAGACTGTCAGATTAGCATTGAAAAGAAGGAAAAAAAAAAAAAAAAAGAAGAGGTGGAGAACCTGAAGGAAGGTCCTGAAGATGAGATTTCCTCAGGCCTGGAAAACTTTCACCTAGAGGCCGAAGCTAAAAAGGCATCATTCAGCTGAGCAAATCCACCAGTGGGTACCCACTCAGTCAGTCAGCCCTTTTACCAAGGAGGGCTTCAGCTGGAAAGCTCTCCTTGTCAGCAGGTGGATGAGTAAAGACTTTTGGTGACTGGAATTTGGGGGCAGGATCCATTCAAACCAGAAGCAAACTGCATCTTCCTCACACCAAGGGTGTTTAGCATGGGAACAGCTGATGGGTGCTTCCTCCACAGGTCAGAGACTCCAAAAAAGTTTGGATGCTTCTGTTAGGAGAGGAGTCTGCCACCACATAGCGCTGCTGTTTTCTTTGGGGCTCACCAGACATGACTTCATGTCCTGTGCTGAGCAGGAGGGTCAGGGTGCAAGATCAGGGCAATTCCTAGACCTGAATGTTAAAAGAGATGAGCCTTACAGAACACAGAGTTGTGCCACCAGCCTGAGTTTGAAAGAACTCAAGAAGCTTAGTCAAGAATGACCAAGAAATTCTGCTGTGCTCTCCGTCACATCCTTTTCCTCCTCTATCTCTGCTCTCCATCTCTGCTGTGAGGTTTTCTGGTCTCACAGCTGCAAATTTATGAGCTGATTTACCACCTCTGGGTGAGTATAACAGCACTGCTGCTGGTTCTCTCCACTTGTTGACACGCTGCTGAGCTGTTTGTGGATGCACAGAGGTTTCACCATGCTTCAGGGAAAGGGATGGGTCTATCTAAAGCGATTTCCTAATGCAAATCCCTCCCCAGCTTTGTACCTCTGCATTTTACTGTCCTAAGCGCTGCTCTGGAAAAAGCCTAACAGGTACTGTGAGGCAAAGATCCAATGGGAATGTGAAAAAAAAACCCCAGGGTTAAGAAGAATCCATGGGCCGAGATCAGTAATTGATGCAAGGCGAAAGAGAAAACTTCAGGTAACAGCTTATCATACTTTGGCATCTCAGGATGTGGAAGGACACACAGAGCCTGCTTCAGTGCTATCTCTGAAGAGTTCTGGTGAGCAGCATCTGCCTCTCCTGCCATGTAATGACAAGGATTTGGGCCATTAGCTTTCAGCTGCTGAACCTTCCTGATACTGGCTGTCTGAGGTGCAGTGAGCACCTGAGGCAAGCAGAAAAGGAGATAAGGAGAGAACAGCAGCTTTCCAGCACTTGGTAACTTCTGATTTAAGAGGGTTGCTGCAGGAAACGAAAACCAGTTATGAAGAAGACACTCTTAACAGCTTCAGAAACAGAAAAAAAAGATCTTTGACTGCATGCCAGGGCTGGTTATGGGTGATGATAATTCAAAAGGAGGGTTTTTTTTTCTGGGGATGGTATTTTTAACGAAGGGTCTGGCCATAAAATGAAAGCCTCTGGGGCTAAAATAGATAAGCAGCACAAGGACTGTTTGGAGGGGTAAAGCAGGAGGAGGAGGAGGGGGAGTCACCAGGAGTGGATGCATCTCTCACTGCACATAAATATCCCAAGGGTGGCTGTCAAGACAATGGTGCCAGACTCTTTTCAGTGGTGCCTGGCCACAGGATAAGGAGCAGTGGTCATAAACTAAAACAGAAAAAGCTCTGCCTCAACATCAGGAAGAACTTCTTTACATTGAGGATGGCAAGGCACTGGAACAGGCTGTCCAGAGAGGTCATGGAGTCTCCAAGAAAATCAAACCCACCTAGACAGGTTCCTGTGTCACCTGCTTTATGTGACCCTTCCTTGGCAGGGGATTGGACAGAATGATTTCCAGCCCTAACAGTTCTGGGATTCTGAGAGGGCTGGAGCAGCCTTGCTGGGGAATCTGGGCTCACAAGAACCACAGGTGAGCATCCACATGTGAATACCAACAGAATCAGGTCTGGATCCAGGACAGCTGTGATGCTGAAAGGGTTATATATAAATAAATATATAAATATATAAATATTTAATAAATATATAAATATATAAATATTTATATAAAAATAAATATATAAATAACACAGCAGTGGGAAGCTCTGGGAAAAAAGGCAGATGCAATTCTTTGTGCAAACAGAAAAGCAGGGAAGGGAGGGAGGCTGATGTCCTTCCATGTACCCAAATGCCGAATCCCATCAGTGGGTAGTGTGCACAGAGCTGGAGCATGGGGGTGTTTTAAAGGGACACTGAAAGTTGCTGCAGAAAATGAGAATTGCATGGGCTTTATAAGGCAAGGGCTACAGAGCTCTCTTTAACTTATTGCAAGACTGAATCACGGTTTAGAGGTAACTCTGAGGAGAGGAAATACTGGGAAACGAGGCAGAAAGCACAATAAGGACTAAAAATAGAAAATAGGTGCAAAAATTGTTGTTCCCCCCTCCCGCCCAATGATTCACCACTACCAGAAAAACCACAGAAAAGTGCTTCAGGTACTTCTTGTCTTACTACCCTTTCCCTGTCTGCCTCTAAAGATTACAGCTGGCCTCTTCAGGCACAATGAAAGCTGGAATAGCTGCCAGAGCAGCTGCCACAAGCCACAAGGGATGAATAAAAGGATGGATGTCCTGCTGGACATAAAACCCCAGGGAAGACACGGAGCTCTGGGATGTGTGCCCATCACAGCCCTGCCCACCTTGTGTTAAACCAGGTGCTGAATGGCACCTGTGCACAACGACCAGTCCCACCTAGCACTGCTCCCCTTGCTGGGATGGAAATGCCTCCAGGCGTTTTGCCCCTTTTTTAGGTCATGCTTTAAAGTTCCTGTGAGAGGAGGCGGGATGTGGCGAGCGGCAAAGCCGACAGGCGCGGTCTATCTCGCCTTTTTATCCTCAGTGGGGTTTAAGCTTTGCTTAGCATGATTGACAGCAGCAGAGAAAGTGTCATCTGCAACCACAGCAGTCCCCCAGTAATCCCAATAGAGCTCAATCACAGCAAGGCTCAGTTTCACAGGCAGGGAGAACGAAATCCTCAGCGAAACACAATTTTGCACATACACCAGGAAAACTTTATCCAGGCAGCGAAAGCCTCCTACAATATTAGGAAGGAGGATGACATATGTTGGAGGCTTGCAGGAGGATAGTTATGGCTTTAACAACATGATGCAACTCATCTTTCCATGCAGAAGTGGAATCTGTGGCTGCACTGTGGCAGTGCTGTGCAGCGTGTTCAAGAGAAACCACAGGCATGCAATCAGGCACAAAATCTGTGTGCTTACAGGAACATCACTGGCCAGCAAGAGAGCGAAACCAAAATGACTTCTCCATGAAAACCGCCTCTAGACACCCTTTCTTTTTCTCTTTTTTTTCTCTTTCTTTTTTTTTTTTTTTCTCTTGGTAAGCAAAATAGTATTTGCATGTCAGTCAAAGCAAATGGTCCTCAGCCACAAGGTACTGAAGGGTCAAAAAGGAAATTTGAGTGAAAGCACAATATCTTTTTGCAGGTCTTTTCTCTGTCACCAGCCCCAGCTACCTGAGGACAGAGGCAAACAGATCCTGGCAGAGCAGCTGAGAAGAGCTCAGCGTGCTCTGTAAGCTCCCAGTGCATCCATAGGCCAGAGGAACTGAGGGGGCTGTGTGACGGGGTTGCAGCAAGCCGGCGTGAACTGTGCTGAACTGCCACAATGCTGCCTCCAAAACCAGAATGGGGAACCAGAAACACCCTAGGAAGTGCTGTGCACACATCCAGAGTGCAGAGAGGTGCGTGTGCTCGAGGAGAAGGAGCGGCCCTGCACAGCTCTGTGCTCCTGGCTGATTCCTAGCCCAGGGCAGCTGGTGCTCCCCATTGCCCAGGATGCAAGGACAGTGCCATTTTCAGGCTCCAGCAGCGCTGGATCGCCCTCTCCCTGCTCACTCACCCTCCCTCACAGGGAGGGGTGCCTGGGGGCTCCCCAGCTACATTCCTGCTCTGGATGGGACAGCTTGCTCCAGAGCACTTGCCCACACTCACCACCTGCTCTGAGCAGGGACATGGATGCCCTGGGGCGGGACAGCCCTGCAGGGGTGGGGTGTGGTGCCCAGAAAGAGCAGCCTTCCCCTCACCTGCCTCGGGGGGGGATTTCCGACTTCATTGTGTGTCCTGGGCCCAAGCTGGTGAGGTTCCAAGAGGAGTTCTTGGTCTCCAAGGACGCATCCAAGGAGAGGGCCGAATGGATCAGCTGCCAGATGCTTTTCCTCAGGCTTTGCTCCTCCGGGGATTCCACCCTGGAAGGTGAGGTGGCAGCCCAGGGAGTCGGTGGGCGCGTAGTCCTGCTCTTCTGCCGGGGTGTGGGCACCTTTGGCATGGATGTGGGGTGCTTTGTCTGCCATGGTTTCTGACCTAACAGAGCACGAGAGAACTGCAGAAGGTCTTCCACATTGTCCTGCAGCAGGGCATCAGCAGGTGACAGAAAAGCCCTCTTCTGAGTGGTGAGACAGAGGGACGGAGCGGCCGAGGGCGGCTTTTGGAGGCCAGACAGAAAGCTGCAGGGGTGCAGCTACAGGAGAGCAGCAGGTGAGCAGGGGTGCCAGCACAGCTCAGTGCAGCCATACCTTGTGTGACAGGGGAGCCTCTGTCCGCTGCCGAGGAGTTTGGGGTGCTGGATAGCTCCATCGGGAAAGGGTTTGTTAGAGACCAACCCAAACATGGGACTCGCTGCGTGGAGGAGAGAGGGAGAAACACAACTCTCACTGTCTTATCTTCCCTTCCTCCTCACCTGCCATTTCCCAAGAGATACTCCCCACATCCCAGCCCTTACCTTGACGAAGAACTGCTGTTTGAGGCAGCGATAGTGGGCGAACTGGCAGAAGGTCTGGAACTGCACCACCTCTGGAAATTCAGTGCAGATCGGCCCTAGAGACAGAGATGTGGGATGGAGGCAGGCCTGGGTGCACCAAGAGATGGGGACCCTCTCAGGTGGCAGCTCGTGGATGCAGGACAAGTCCAAGCTGTGTGCCCCCAGATGGAGATCACAGCCCTGGGCTGTTGGAGCTCCCCATTCCAGGCGCCACATCTCTTTTCCCTCCAGCCCCCTGAGGGTTTCGCTTTGTCCTTCTGCCCTTTTTCACACAGTTATCTTCCCCATGACAGTGACACAAACTTCCTGTTTCCAGGATCTGCTGCTTTTGTTATTAGTTCTTGCTGGGTTTAAAAAAGAGAAAAAAAGACAAGTAGTGACATAGAAGGTTAAAAAGATGACCAGACCAGACCTGGGAGCACCAGAGAATCAGAGAATGGTATGGTTTGGTTTGGTTTGGTTTGGTTTGGTTTGGTTTGGTTTGGTTTGGTTTGGAAGGGTCTTTATAGACCATCAAGTTCCAAGTCCCCTGCCATGGGCAGGGACCCCTTCCACTGGACCAGGCTGTTCAAAGGCCCACCCAGCCTGGTCTTGTCTGTCAGGGTTGGGGCTGCCACAGCTTCTCCAGGCAGATGGCTCTAGAGGAGACAAATTCTTCAGGGCAATATAGTTTGACATCGATTCCAGCCTTGCAGGGGATGGAGGAGGGTCCATGGGGCCAGGATGCTGCTGGCAAAGCCTGTGCCTGTACACACACACACACACTCTGCAATCTTGACCAGCACTGCCAGCACACTGGCTCCAGGACACAGCTCTTGCAGCAATTGCAGGAAAGCCAAGGGTGTGCAGGAGAGCAGAAAAAGCTGAAGAATTGGGTGATCTTGTGCTGCCTCTGCTCTAGGAGTGCATGGCCTGGCTGGTACAGAGAGCCTTGTGAGAACAGGAAAAGTGCTGGCTCAGAGGGAGGGCACTGCTCTCCTGATATTGCTCAGGAATCCTTTACTCTGTGCTCATTTCTTGTGCTGAGCAAACAGCTGCGCCGTCAAAAGCAGAATTTCAGATCTACACCAGGATCCCAGCCCAGAAAAACACCCAACTTGTAGGGAAAGCTCCAGAACCCCATCCCTTGTTTAAAGCACAAGATATTGTAGGGAGCACTCCAGATCCTCACGCTCTCCTTTGTTTAAAGCTAAGGTGATTGCCTTCCTCAGCACCACACCTGAATGGGCACAATTAATGCTCATATCTGAGTGTACAGCACTGCCATAGCTCTGTGAGGAGAGCAGAGGCTAAACATGAGAAGGCACACACTCTGCCACATCTGTTCCACCTCTCAGGCTGGCTGAAATGTGCCAGAATATCCCCCAAACTGGAAAAAAGGTAACACAAAGGGGAATAAATTCTGCTGGATAGGTGTGTTAGGCTGAGGGATGGGAGAAAAGAGGGTGAAGAGGGCAGCCTGCAAAACTGTCCCATCTTCTGGCATTTCCAGATGCTTCTGCTCCTGACAAGTGAGTCTCTGAAGGCAGCAGCAGTGGGAGTGTGGCTGGACATGACAAAGAGCAGTGCTGGGGAATTTGGCACCACAAGGAGAGAAACTAGGGACAGACCATGGGCGCACCCATGCACAGTGGATTTCAGGTGCCCAAAAGTGGGTGAAGAGCACAGGACCCATCCCTGGGTCTGGTGATGTGGGGTGGGACTCGTTCCCCCAACACAGCTGCAGAAACCAGCAAGAAATAGTTGCCCTCAAGCTGCAGTCCAAATAAGCAGTTGGCTGATCATTCAGCTCACTGACGTTCATATCTAAATATAAAGACATATTTTTTATGAGAAAATTGCCTCTATTTTTTTTTTTTTTCTTCTGAAGAAAAATACAACAGAAGTAGTCCCAAGTTTTTCAGCTGCACAGATATAATTATACCACTTAAATTCTCTGATGCAGGGGTGCAGGGAAAATATGACTGCAGAGATCTGAAGGGTGCTGTTGCTATGGTGCTTTCTGAACCGGGATGTTTCTTGGCTCCTGAAATGTTAAACACTTAAAAAGGCAGCTTATCATCTCAAGTTTTCTTAAAGACCTACGAGAGCCCATGAGCCAAGATTCTGCATTAACCCTCAGAAGAAGCTGGAAGGAGCTGGTTAGAGATGAGGAGCTGCACTGAGCTTGAGAAGACTGTGGCCAGTTTTTCCTCCTGCCACCCCACCAACAGAGATGTGGAGAAAGAAAGGGCCACTGGAGTGGCTGTGGCTTTCAGCCCCATGACCTGTAAAGAGAGGCTGGGACAGGTGTGCTTCCTCAGCTGGGTGAAGAGGAGGAGTCACAGCAGCCCACAGGGGCTTGAAGGAAACCTTACAAGAGAACAAACCCTTTTTGGTGGTGCCAGACAACACATGGAGTGGGGGGAAAACCGTGCAGATTCCTGCTTAGGTTAGGGCTGCCCTTTGGGGAAAAGGTTTGTTTTTTCTCCAGGAGAGTGGTGCAGCACTGAAAGGGATGCTCAGAGAGGCCACAAAAACCAGTGTGCTCTAGTCAGGCCGGTGCCTGCTCCAAGCTGCTTTTTGGGCTATATTGACCAACCCAAGCCATCCCATTCCCACAATCCTGCGGCATTTTGGGGCAGCTCCAGCCGGGTCCACGTGCTCCTGCGAGCCTGGTGATGCCCTTACCTTCGGGGATTTCTCCGTGGTTCTCCTCCTGGTCCAGGCGCAGGATGTCGTGGTTGAGGCAGCCGTAGGCCTGGCGCAGCAGGCAGAACATGTTTGCCTGCCAGGGCGGGTGCAGCTTGGCAAAGAACTGCTGGTACTCCCGGTCCGACAGCGGGCTGCCCGGCACCGGCGGCACCGGCGGAGCCGCAGCGGCCGCCGGCAAGCTCAGCACACCTGCGGGACAAACACGGGCCGTGGGCTGGGCTGTCCCTGCCACCTGAGCGGCTGGAAATGAAGGAGCAGGCTGGCCTGCCCCTGCCGGCTGGCACAGGGTGCTGGGACAAACGCTTCAGATGCCGGCCTGAAGTCTCCATCACCCCTGCCTGCAGGGTGCTGGGGTAACCAGGAGGCCCAGGGAAAAGGGGGGAAAAAGAATACAGAGGAAAGAAAAAACAACAAAAAAAACCCCCTTTAAAAGTCAGATTTTATTTTGAGCTTGGTTTGGATTGGGGGAAACATTGTTGTTTCCTTTTTATATGTGTGTTTTGTGGGGGGAGGTTGAGTTTTTTTTGTGGGTTTGGTGTTTTCTGTTTTTTTGGGTTTTTTTGTCTTTGGGTTTTTTGGGGGGGGATAGGGGGAGGGTATTGATGTGCTTTTTTTATTTTTCCCCTCAAAAGTCCCAGCCTCCAGAGGCACCACAGTGGTGGTGGCTCCCCTGCCCCCTGCACCGTGCTATGGACACATCCCTGTCCAGGGGGACATCCCTCCATCTCCTCCCTCCCCTCTTTGCCTCCAGCTGAGCCCCCTCTCCTGCTGCCTCCGCACCGTCCCCACCCCAAGGCCCTGACACGGCTCTGGTGACAGACAGGGTGCGGCAGGACAGCGGCTCCAGGCCCCGAGGTGGCCCTGCCGGGGCGGTCACTTACTCAGCAGCCAGAGGAGCCGCGATGTGTGTGCCACGGGCTGCAGCATCGTGAGCTGCTCGCTGGCCGGCTGGGAGTGCCTCGCACACCGAGCAGGCCAGGGCGGCCGGTCTGAGCGCTCGGCTTCTGCCCTTGGCAACCGTGGAACCATTCCCGGGCCACGGCCCCGCAGTCGGAACCCGGGGCCGGTGTCGCGGTGGGGCCAGGCGGAGCCCCCAGGGAGGGGACACGCCAGGCTCATGGGGACAAGGGAGCCAAACTGGGAGCTTCTCCCTCTCTCTGGGGACACGCCGGTGGCTGGGAACGACCCACAATAGCATTTGAGGTCTGGCCAGGCTGATCTGAGGCTGGGGGTACTCCAAAAGCGGTACCTATGGGGTATCCTAAAGCCCAAATTGTTTCACGAGGGGGAAAGGAGGCAGCATCTCTTCCATCTGCAGGGCTTTGAGGAGCACCCCATGCCCTCCCAGGAGCGTCCCAGCCCCGGCTTGCTTCAGGATGTGTCGGGAAGCTGGTTTGATCCCTCCCAGGCACACACAGCACTTTCTGAGCACTTTCTGGGGAGTCAAGGGAGCAGCAGCTGCTCTTCCTCCGCTTCTGGCACAGGTGCCCTCAGCACCTCTCTCTGCTCTGCAAAGCCTTCCCAGGAAAAAAAGCAGGAATAATGCTGCCAGCAGAACGGGACCAGCAGAGCAGAAGTGCCCAGAGCCCTCAGGACTGACTTGGAGGGGGATCCGCAGCCGTGCCCATCTCCTCAGGCTGGGACACCTGGAGCGCAGGGCAGGGGCGCAGCATCCCCGGCGCCTGCCGCAGCTCCCGCGGGCACAGACACGGCAGCACGGCCGAGCGGCTGCCGGGAAAACGCTTGGCACAGCAGCCCCGGGAGCTGCAGGCGTCAGCAGAACTCGGGGGGCCCAGCAGAGCCCCCCGTCACCCCCGGCTCTGCGGAGCGGCTCCCGGGAGCTGCGGGCAGAGCGGGGCCGAGCTCTGGAGCTCGCAGCGGGGCTCTCCTGCGGGAGCCGCTCCTGCCGCAGATCCGGGGAGATTCCAGCGGCTCTGCTGATGCAGCGGCTGCCGCTGCAGGGCTGGCACATCATGCCCTGTGGCCATGCAGGCTCTCAGGGTGAAAGCTCGCGGTTCGAGAGGTGTCTGGTGGAGGTGGCAGCACGTAGCTCTGCAGGAGACGAGCTGTACTTTGCTCTAAGATGTCTTGTTGGAAAGTAGCGTTTCTGAGAAGCTTGAAGCCTGGCCATTTAAAAGCAGCGCTGAATTTTGAATGTTTTTTCAGCTCTTTAGAAAAACATTGATCGGGAGAGTTTTTCCAGCTAGCTCTCGATACTCGTATTAGAACAGGCAACACTGCTGGAGCTTGCGTATCTTTTGGCAGCTCCTAGCCTTGCATTACTTAGCTTGAGACACATCGCTTATTAGCTGATTTTAGACAATTGCACGGCCTTCAGCTCCCTAGCTCTGTTAATCACCTCCACTTCTCTGCAGGAAAAGAGCCAAGGCTGAGCTCTGCCACCCTGGCTGAGCAGCTTCCCAGAGCAGTTCAGTGCTGACCTCACTGGCTGATGGAAATGTTGGACTCAGGAAAGCAAACTGATGTGGCGAGTCACAGAATCACAGAATCATAGAATGGTTTGGGTTGGAAGAGACCTTAAAGATCATCCAATTCCAACCCCTCTGCCATGGGCAGGGACATCTCCCACTAGACCAGGCTGCTCAGGACCCCATCCAACCTGGCCTTGAACACTGCCAGGGATGGAGCACCCACAGCTTCTCTGGGAAATGCCACACAGTGTTATTGATATCTGGCAGGTGCTGGCTACACTGCCTGTGTCTTCATGTGCCAGCAAGGGATTTATGGCAAATGAGAACAGGAAACAAGAATGAATGCAAAAGAAGGGGGACCTGTCAAAGGAGTCCCCCTTGGCTGGGGCTCTGTTAGCAATGCCTGTGGCGACCTACTGCTTATTTGAAAAGGTGGTTACAGATGTGAGGACACTGGCTACTCCTCATGCACTGTGGAACATCCTGGACCTGGTTCATGTTGTCAGAATCCTTCAGAAAACTCACAGTCCACTAGTGGACTCTGCAGAAACCAGTGAGTCTCTGGCATGCGCCCAGCAGGGTTGGGAGGCTGCGAGAGCAGGAGGCACTGCTGCGCTGTTTGATGAGGTGTGTGCCAGCTGGCTGTGGGACACCTGCATTTCAAGTCTTTGCAAAACAAAAATCATCTCTGGGGGAGGGAAGAGGAGGGAACAGTGACTTGTACACGATGCATCAATGCTGCAGGCTGGGGGAAGTCTACTCGCTACTGCTGCATCGAGCAATTATAGTTGTCAGCAATGCGGAGCACGGGGGTGATGTTAATTCCAGCGTTTTCTGATTTCTGAGAGTTCACTTGGCACCTTTAAGGCCCTACCTTCAATGACACACTACAAGCCGTGTAAGTTTTGCAGTGAGGCAGATTTGCACCCTTGTTTTCAGGGCTGCCACACAATGGAGTTTCCTGCAGCCACTGTTCCAGTGCCAGCTGGGACCCCCAGGCCTACAGAGTGCCTGAGCCAGCAGCAGGGACGTGCAACAGCGGGGCAAGAACTCGCTGGAATGATGTTTTCCATGTTGATATCCAATTGCATGTCAACCCTGAGCTTTGTAAGAGCCTGTCTGGTTTGTGAGGGACCACCCTTCAGAAGATGAGCTCCTCTTCCTTGTTGTTGTCTCAGATGCTTTGGCTATTTCTCAGCATTTTCCGTGCTGCATGTTCCGCCACAAACACACCGTGGCTCACAGACCCAGTGTCAGCACAGTGAGTTAAACTGAGGGGTTTGGGGCAGGGAGAGGACGTCTGGTCAGCTCCAAACACCATAAAGATGGAGGCCACAAAGACTAGGTGTGAATTCCAGTGGCTTGTCAAGCAGCATCCCCAGGAAGCAAGTGTCTTAAATAATTTGAAATGTAAGCAGAGATGATAGAAAATGCTTCCAAAGCCACCTGGCAGGTGTGTTGCCAGAAATGAAAGAGCAGGCTGCTTAGGGAGGAGGCCATGAGCAGCTCTGTGTAGATGTTGGGGTGGTCTCAGGAAGGGGCTGACAGAGCCCCTGCGACGCGCCAGGTTGTGCATTCCTCACAGTGCACCAAAGGAAGGTGTGGTACCTCCATTTAGTAAAACACACACCTAAAGGAGCGGGTAGAGGAGGGGGACACTCGCTCTGTTCACTCAAGGAGCCGGACAGAGCGGAGCAGAGCCTCTCAGCAGAGGGGACAGCCCTGCCAAGGAGCCTCAGAGCCATCACACAGCAGACAAGCAAAGACCCCCTTCCAGTCCAGCACTAACGCTTCCAAACACTACTGCAAGATCCCAGTGCTGGACACCTTCACCCCGTGGGAAGGGCTGTAGGTACCAGCCCATGCAGAGCAGGGCACAGATGCCCATCTCCGCATCAAATACTTAATTTACATTTTATTTTGTTAGGAAATAGTGAATGAAGCATTTTTTACTTGACATTTAGAAAATGGAATATTTAATTGATTGCAAAAACAGCATTTAAAAATGGTTTCTTGAATTATTAATACAAACTAAAACAGAGTGGATACATAAAAGCCTGCTTGAACAAACTGCTGTAGTCTTTTTAGGCAGGTTTGTTTCATGCAAGAACAACCTGATCCAACCACAATTTTATCCTTAATGTGAGCAGGGGCTTGGACTACAAAGCTCCTTAATGTGAGCAGGGGCTTGGACTACAAAGCTCCAGAGAGGCTTCTTCCCACCTCACTCTTTCTGTGGTGAGTAAATGGGTTCTTCCAATGACGGCGTCATTCAAGCTTTCAGAAATCTCAGGGTCACACTTCTTTTCCTTGCTTGTTGTCAATGTGTAAAAAATAATTCCTTTCCTATGAATGAGTTGTTTCTTCAGTGGTAGCAACCCCAGCCCACTGAAATGAAATTGCACACCTGCAAAAACAGACCAAAGTGGACACCTTGCTGAACATTTCTTTCACACCAAAATGTAGGAGCTTAGTGTTTGTCACAGCTTTGCCTGTCCTTAAGCCTTGGGCACAAATGTGCTTTTTTAAGACTAACACTCCTAGTTTCTTTTATATATTCAGAAAAATAAACATAAATTAGCATAAATTAATCAAGATGTTTGACTATTTTTATAAATGAAATTCATTTTATTGGATAAAAACAGCTATATTTCTTCTGATACTGTAACTGATAGGAAGTAAAGTTGGAGAAACTTCCTTCAGTTGTCTTTGGAAAGAAAGGTAGGACATTTAATTTCCTTTTATTTCTTCTAGTCTTTAACTCTTTCAGTGCTGCAACTCTTTTCAGTTTCCTTGCTTACTGCTAGATCTTTAGAGCAGATCTTGCCACTCAGGCTCTCAATGTCTTCACACTGGCAGGGTAGAGCTGCGGTTTATTATAAAAAGCAAAACAGCTCAGAAGTTTTCAAACCATCCAGATCTGGGAGAAGATGGGCTCATTTTCAGTCTGTATGAGCAAGCTGTCTCTTGGGAATGTCTTCCACTGCCAGCTTGAGACCTCTGGGCCGATTTGGGCCACGTTTGAATTGAATATACATGACGGGGAGAGAGTGTCCACCACCCAGCTCCGAGAGGTGGTTAAGTAAGTAATACTTTAAGAGTGCTTTAAGAAGGGCTGGGTGTCGCTGAGCTGTGGGGTGAGTTAATTGAAAAGCAGGAGAGGAAAGCGGTCCCACTGACGGAAGGCGATGGCTGGGATGGTTTCCATGCACATCATGCAATGGACACGGCGGTGGCAGAGCCTGAGGGATGGGAGCCTGGGGAGCACGTCCGCTCGCTGGAAAGGGGAATACTTTGCTGAACATCCTTGTCAGCAGATTTGCCCAGCTGCTCGGGAATGATGCCCACAGATGGGGCAATCAAACTGGGCAAGATAAATTGGTCGTTTGTGTGCATGACCAATTATTATTAATAAATGGGCTTAACAAGGCTGCAAAATTCTTCCCTCTTGTCACGCTCCATGGCTCCAGCCTGCTGAAACTCAGACTTGACTTCACTCATCAGCTAGGATATTTCCAATCACTCTAAAGGGGCAATTTCTCCAGCACCGTTTTAGAAAGTGTTTATGTTGCACTGACAGCTGTTCCAGGAAATCTGCAAGCTAGCCAGTTCTGTTATGGAGTTCATGATTACTTTAACTGAGTATATCCCTGCTTTAAGCACTTCACTTCTAGGAGAAGTAAACTTCTCAGATCCCATTACCACTACAGTGATCCAGGTAACTATTAACAAGGATCTTAATAAAAAAAATCCAAGCAATTTTTGACAGATTTTTTTTTGGCTACTTCCCTTCAAACTGATTTTATTTTGTTGACCTGGACTTCTTGCTTGTTTTAGAGAGAAGCAATTTACTTCCCTGCTGTTCCAGTATTTCACATCTGGACTGTTGTGGCAGCCTTCTTGACATCATTAAGGACCAGAACAGAGCTGGCTCTTTTCCAGCCTTGTAGGTTTTCCCAAGCAGTCCTGACTCTGACAGAGATCAGCCCACAGATGCCTCCGGGTGGCTTTCACAGGACGACAAACACCATTTATTGAGCACTGATGATCAAAAAAGTCTTTGCCCCAAGAGGTGCCATTTAGAACCCTTCTTTACTGTTTGCCTAGGAAGTACACCATCCCCATATGACACCAGCACCAACACAGAATAAATATTTACAGAACACTTCCCCTCCTCTCATTACAAACAATTCTGCTATCTGCAGTCGGTAATGGACAAGTGCCATGTTCAATTATGTCAAAAACAAAAGGCATTCTAAAAAAAGCTGCTCATGTTTCCAGCCTTGTCACTTACAGGCTTTGTTCCCACTGGCTTCATTTTTGTACTTTGTATTTTCTAACTTCTACTGGTTCTTTTCCTCCTCTGGTGATTAAATATTGCACAGCTACTGCCCTTATTTCTTCTCTTCCAAGGTTAGCTTTTAATGTGCTTTCATTTACATTTATACTTGCAAGCCATTTAAAAATGACCAGGTTTTATCCAAATTTTGGTCAGAGCATTCCCTCAGTGGCAGCAGAAGTCCCTGGAATGCTCCTTGCTGCTGGCTCGTGCTTCAAACACCTCTCTGGCCCACAGTTCCTGGACAGCTTGCTGCTAACGCTGGCCATTAAATCCCATGTTGTATCCCTCAAAACCAAGCTGCTTGGAGCAGTTTCCATCCTTCATCACCCCTGCACTCTGCCCAAAGCCCATTTTCCAGTTCAGGCCATATCCACCATTTCTTCTGTCAGTTGAGCACCCGTTGATGTCTGACTAACCCTCAGCTGAAGAGATCAGTTCTGCCACAGCCTGCTCACCCACTGGATCATGGAAGAGTCTCCCTGCTACTAAAACCATACCAGAGATGCAGCCAACACCTTCCAGAATTTGCTTCATCTCTGCTTAAGAAAGGAAGCCCCAGGAAGTGGTGTAATACAATCTGGGGACTGAGATTCAGACTGTGGCAGGGGTACCACAAACCATATAAGCCACAGCCTGGGTATGAACAGAAAAAAATCCTCCATGGATCCTCATACAAGTTATCTGGGTGAGGAAAATGTTCCATGTTTCAGGTAAAAGGCTTAAACCTTCCTGAGGAGCAGACCACAAGGAGGAAGAAGACTTGGTTTGTCAGTCTCCAGGCTGTGCCAATGGAATTGATAGAGAGGAGTTTCAGTAGAGGCCATCTCCTCAGTTACCTGCAGACACTACAGACCTTCAGATCTTCAGGAATTGTTTTGGAGCTTAATGTTATGTTAGTAACAGCAGCCAGAGTTTCTGGCAACAAGGTGATTGTGACCTCCTGGGAAGCAAGCTATCAGGGTGTCTGGGACACCTATCCACCTTCTTGGAGACATGTGGTTTGTCCTGATGGCTTATTTTCTCAGCTGTGCTGCCCAGCAGGCAGTGAGGGCTGGCCTTTGCCACGTCCACTCCTCCTCATTTAAGAGAAGGCAACTGATGAAGAAAACGATCAAACAATAGTGGGAATGAATGTTCACCTTCTTGTGAGGGCATGACTGCAGGGGCAGGTATTTTTCACAGCCACCAGAAAGCTCAGTAGCTTTCTTCAAGTACATTAGGTACATTTTCAAACCTGACTTACGCAGAATGTCACTTCTTAGTGACAGGACTGCTGCATGAAAAAGCTGCACCACATTCACCACTCACAATAAAAGCAGAGCTAAGAGAGAAAGAAAAACTAGAGAGACCAATTGCCGCAGTTTATTTTGGAGGTGATGTCAAGGCAAACAGAGTACTTGTTTCAATGAATTTTATTTAATTCTGTATCATACAAGTGGGATCTGAATCCCCAAACTTCCCACCATCAACATAATGGAGAAGCACCACTACACAAGAGGAAGGCAGAATTTTGAAGCCGGAAGACAGACTGGACCAAGCCGTTTCTCCCCACGTGGTCAGAAATTCTTCCTCCTTCACACAGTGTGCTTCCCAGACCAGCAGGTTTACCCCAGGAATAAGAGAGACAAAGCTAGCTCTAAACACTCCCTCTGCCTCCTCCTCTCCCCAACAAAAGAGGCTGCTCAAAGCCAGCAGTGGAATGGTTAAAGACAGGGAGCACATCAGGTTTTCAGTCTTTCAACCAGCCCACTAGATTAAGAAGTAGCCTGGTTACTCCCTCTCTCCTGAAAAAGATCCAGGAAAATGAATGACCTAAAATGCTGAAGACTTACCTCCTTTCCTTCCCCCATCCCATAGCCTTGTTCTCTAAGCAGAGAATAGGCAATGAACTCTGAGGAGGCTGAAGGAAAGCCAAGGAAAATCAGGGGCTACCTGAATCCCTGGGAATCTGGTGGCTACCCTGGTGCCCTCATTCATTCCCTTTGAGGTTCAGAGACCTGTTTGGAACAGTACACAGAGAGGGCCTCCCTTAAGGACTCAGAAGCAACCAGGGATACAGAACACACAGGAACCACCGTGAGGGTACACACCATTCCAGGGATGGCCCAAACCACAAACAGGGCAAGACTTCCCTTCAGCCAAGGCCCCAAGGGCTGGGGGAACTGGGACGAGGCTCTGGCAGGGGGAAGAGAGCTCCTGCAGCAGTACTGAGGTCTCATGTGAATTTACTTCTTCTTCCTCTCCTGGGAACAGCGAGGGCAGAACCTATTAGAAAGGGAAGCACAAAGCTAACATTTAGGGCATGACATGAGCCTCAAGTGCATGGTCCCAAAAGACATTTTCCAAGGTCCCCAACGAAGTCTTAATTCACATTTTCCTTTTAATGATATCTTCTAAGTGTGTACAGATAGTACTTTCCCCCCTGCCACCTAGGACCTCCCCTTTCCAAAGGCCAAGGGGCCCCCCAGGTTGCTTCACTCACCATTTTCCTCTTGGTTTTGTTGTCAGACCCACACAGGCAAAATGAAACCATTCAATGGAACACTGTTGGGATGAAGAGCAGCCAGTTAAAGAGCAGTTTCCTTTTCAAATTGTTGCTTCTGGGCTACCAGAGGTTCCCAGCATTTAATCACAAATTTCTAAATCCCTAGCAGTGATCAAGGATTGAATACTCACACCCATCCTACACACTGTTAGCAAGGAGAACGCCCCTTCTCCCTTGCTAAGTTTAGGGACAAGAAAACATTTTAAGGAAAACCCTGAAGAAAGAGGCACTTCAGAGGTCATTGCCAGCCACACCTCTGCCCATCCCAACTACCTGAGGTAAGCCCTCTCCTTGGCACAGCTTGCTGGCTCAGGCCCCAGCCAAGCAGGACAAGACCTTCCATGCAGGACTCCATCTCCACTCCATTCCCCCCCATTCCCACCACGTGCAGGCTCTTACATCAGGGTTGTCACAGCCAATCATCTCCCCATAGGAGACCTGGTGGCAGAGGCAGTAAGTGGGCTCATTGGGGTCCACGGGCATATCCAGTACGTCCGAGGGGTGCACATTTCCAAAGGTGACGGAAGGCATCCCATACTCTGTGCTACTGCAGGACAAGAACAAAGTAAGTCAACAAAGTAACTGGCTCTGAGTACCTTCACGTGTCCCACGGCAGTGCCCTTGTTTGCCAGAGACAGATACTTCTCTCATTTAAGTACATACAGCCAAGGGGACCTGCCTTCCCCTTCAACCCACACTCCCCTTAAAGAGTGAAAACGTTTTCTTCCTCTTGCTCCCCAAGAAGGGACAGAGGACACACAATTCCAGTTTGGGGATCTCAGGGAAGCCTGGCTAGGCCTGCCTTGATCTAATTTCTAGTGCTGCTTCTCAATTCCTCAAGTCCCTTAAACACTTACGTGCGGACGAGCTTCAACTTCTTTTGGGCAGTTTTTGGTGCTTCCTCATCAGAGTTTTTCCCTTTAGAGCGAGCACGGGCAGCTTTTTTCTCTTTTTGGGCTCGGCCCTCTGGTAAGAAGAGAAAAAGGTGTTGAATCTGTCACCCACCAAAACATACACCTGACATACAGTGACAACCTCTGCAGCACTAAAATACACTCCTTCTTTGGAATGTGTATTGGCTTTGGGCCCTGCATCCCATCTTAATTTATCTAGCGGCCTTGAATAAGCTCACACAAGAAGAGCCCAGGTCACCATCTTTTTACCTGTCCTTCAGACTCCAGCGCAACAGTCTTTGATCTGCACCACTCCAGTGCCTGCCTTCATCCCCACCACTTCCACAGTCACTTGGCTGCCTCCTGAATCAATCTGCAGCCCAGTGGTGGTACTCACTCTTCTTGCCCTTGCTGGAAGAACTGTCATAGTCACTCGACTCTATCTGCTTCTCCTTCAGGTCTGCTTCAAAGCGAGCGAGGTCTGTGTCCAACCGCCGGATGTGCTTATCAACCTGCAAAAACAGCAGTGACCAGGGTTTACCCCAGGACAGAGCCCAGGAAGGCAAAGAGAGGACAAAGAGGGGACAAAGAAGCAGGGGGCTTGCACTAAAGAGCTGAAGAGCAAGCGTGGGGATGGCCTAAAAATGAGAGATCAGGGCCTTCCGAGATGGGCGGTTTTAGTTCAGGTGTTCACACGATAAGCACAAGACACTTCCCTTCATACCATCTCGTAGGTCTGCATAGCCAGCTGAACTTTGTCGTCCCCAAATTCCTTGCACTTTCCATAGGCCTCCTGGATTTGCTTGAGAAGTCCCAGTTTTTCCTCTGAGGACAGAGTCCGTGCATTGCTGATATACTCCGTGGCCAACTTATCGATCTCTGACTTGAGGTCTGAAAAAAGTGAACCATTAAATACACGAACACCACACATGCCATGAGGAGAGACTGAATGGAGCAGCTCCAAGCCTCCTCCCCTGCCTGGAGATCCCCATGACAAAGGTAAAGCAAAGCTGGTCAGGTTATGTACTCTTTGTCTTGGCAACAAAACCATCTCCAACCCTCACCTTCTGTCCTCTGATCCAGATCTCGCATGAGCTGGAAGTTTCTCTGTAATTCAAATGGCAGGTTCTCAATACCTGCAGAAAAAGGAGAAGATGGAGAAGTCAGGTTCTTGTCCATGATACCAAGGCAGGAACGAAGCTAACCAGTAACACACACACCCCTGGTGCATATCAGCCTGCTTCCATTTGTTGCTGACCTCAAAGGAGACAGATGATAAAAATGTGATATATTTAATGCAGAAACATAGTTCTAGAGTACATATTAGTTTGCAGAAAACTGCTGCCATGCAGAAAGGTCCACACTAAGAAAGCAGAAACCCAAAATCTGTAATGAGTGTCAGTCACTATAATATGTCTCCATCCAAAAACTCCACTCAGTAATGAAAAAAACTACACAACAGCTGGTAAATAAAGCCATTTAGTTATTTCTACACAAGGATATAAAAATTGAAGTTGATCAAATGCTAATTCACTGAAAAGTAAAGGGATAGAAAAGACTTTGGGCAGAGCAAAGATCAAGGCTGAGATGGGATGTGGAACAGAAAGCAGTCTTAACCCTTCGTGACTTGTAACTTACTGTGCCTTCCGCACTGTCATCTCAGTGTGGTCTGTCCAACAGCTGGAAGGATGCCACACATTGTGAATAATAAACATTTGTAGGGCTCTGAATGAGCAATGTGAAGTTGATAGTCAATTAATTTTCAATGCACTATGCTACTCACCCCCCAGGCATCACCAGATGCTCAACTGGCAAAGCTGATAAAAACAATTCTCATTTTTCCCATGCCTGTCTAATCAAAATGAGATCTAGTGTCACTGCATTAACCTGAAGTCTAAGCTTGATTACTGTCACCTTTATACCTAATAAAAATAATAAATATCTCTTGAAAGTTTTGAAAACAAAAAAAAAGGTGTTGGGAAAAGCTCTTCACAAACACAACAGAAGCATGTCTGAGCTTCCTGAAGTCACTCTCCAGCTCACAGGCAGTGTAACTGAAGGTGTGTCTGACCATCACCAAAGCTGTCCAACACATCAGCCCAGGCAGCAATCTCTATTTTCACTGCACATATTTCTACAGCAATGAATGCTTCTTTACTTCCCTGAAGAGCAACCAGTTGACAGGGAAGGCTCTGTATGCAGGAGGAAGGTTTTAACAAGTTTTAACAAGTACTACTTAACAGGACCTAAAATTAATTCCCATAAAAGGTACAACAAACTGTGAGCCTTGCACAGAAGTTGTTCCTTTTACTTAGATTTTTGCCCAAACAGGATAATAAGAAGTTACCTATAGAATCCTTAGGAACAATCAAGCTGCTGCTTCAACAGATTTCTGTTGCCATTTCTGATTTAGTTACCTGAGAAATGCTCAGATAGTAGGTGTCCTTAAGTACCCAGATACATGATCCACAGCACATACACATCACCCCTCTGCATTCAAGGACAGTTAACAGTGCAAATTCAAATTCTGGAAAATTACTAAGTGGCAAAATTAAGTCTGTCGGCACATCCTGAATTTGATACTTCCATGTCTGTTCAGCATGACAGACTTCACACAAGGTTTAAGCAGCTGACTACCAGATTACATCCCTATGGTTCAAAAAAGCATCTCAGAACACGATGGGGACACAATGCCGAAAATTATTATTGCTTATAGAGGGAGCTTATGGCAGGGATGAAATCCAGCTTGGGAATCTAGAGACCATGCCTTTTTCCTTCCTGCAATCCCCAGCCTCATCAACTCTAAACCTTTCAATTTATACAGCAAATGAAACATGGGTCGTACTGCAGCATGCTGCTTTTCATTCCTCTCCAAAGCATCCGCTGCAGAAGACAAGACAGGTGTCCTCTAGAGGAAAACAGAAGCTCTTCCGGCACTGCACACAATATGTCAAGTTTATATTGAGTTTATTAATCCTGGAAGATCACAGCTTCTGAATTCTTGACTTTGTGGTTTTTAGAAAAGATTAATGTAATTTCTTCTTCTCTTCTGAAAAGGACAGATGGTAAAAGCACAAATTCCACCAGGTACTGTCAGCTTTCCGTCAGCAGGGCTAGAAAACTTTAGATAGAGCAAGCACCTGAGCCAGCACAAAAAACAGCAGGGCATAACTCTGTGGGCAGAACAACCCCACACGAGGTTTCGGTCACATTTCACAGCGATGTTTTTGCACCAGGAGAAACTCAAGCAGGAGTTTGATTCTGCTACACAACCTCAAAGAACTGTGCTCTAGTTTTTACAGCCACTACTGTAAAAATCTGTCACCACCACTGAATGCCAGAACATGCCCTTGTCTGGACAGCATCTGTCTGTCTTTCTTTTGCCTCTACGTGCCCGGCCTTGCTGGTTCAGCCTGTGCCCCCCACCCCTGAGAGCCCTTCTCTCCCAGAGCCGCTTGGCCCCTCAGCCAGGCCAGTGGCTCCCCTGCCTCATTTCCTGCCTCATTTCCTGCCTCCAGCTGTGCAGAGCCCTCTGCTCCCAGGGGCTCTGGCAGTGTGGGGAGAGCTGTCACCTGGCTCTGGTTGAGCAAATGCTCAGCACAGGCACCATGGCTGGATCATTTAAAGCTTGTCTGAGCCATGATCTTCCAGGAGCTCATTAGCTGGGCAGGCTTCCACTGGGGCTAATGAGACAAACCCCTGTCAGTTGAATTCCTTCCCTGCTAAAACCAGCAAAATGATTTCCTAAAACCACAGCAAAATATTTCACTCTGCAGATCTATTATTGGACAAATGTTCTGCCACTGCTTCGTCAATAAACAGAGAAAATGAAACGAGTGACAGCACAGTGACTTTATAATCAGAACTGCTACAAAGATACTTGATCTGTTCAACTGAACACGGAAGGAAGCTGAGCAGACCATTACAAATTATGATCCAGAGAGAATCTGGCAATAACAAAAAGCATAACAAGATAAAGCTGCAGATAAGCAAGTTATAACTGAGCAACAAATTATTTGTATGGTACATAACTTAATCTAGCTGTGGGGATGTTTCCTACTATCTGCAGCTTAACTCCAAAGCTCTTGCATAGCCTTAAACAGAAGTGATTCTCTTCATCACAGAATTTATCACTTGCTGAAATTGCTTGACCTGTGCTGTGCTGGCTATCAGACATTATCATTCTCTAAGTCACATTAAAAAAAAAAAATAAAAAAAAAAAATCTATTTGAGTCTCCATTTCCTACCACCACACTTTTCCTCACTCTTTCTAAAAATATTAGTTATTTATGTAATTTCATTTCCTTCTGCTTTTCTCCTTCTTTTCCTCTACAATTAATTCTGCTCTTTCATCTTAGTAAGACTCACCTAAAATTATAATGACTAAATGCTATCTATCATAAAATACCCACGTAATTCTCAGATTATGAAACCGATAATTGTAAAGAAAAAAAACCCTAGAGGCATCTTTGATCACTAGAGAAGAGTGATGATACATAACAATGGACAGAAAAATAAGGAAATAAGGGCCTCTTTCCACACAAATGGCAAGAAAGGAAGAGGAGGATTGTGAAAATGTACAGGGAGGAAAGTGCTAGCAAGGCCAGCGGCTTGGCCTAAAGCACGGGCTGGCATTAATGCAACCGTATCACAGAATCACAGAACGGGTAAGCCTGGAAGGGACCACAGTGTGTCATCCTGTCCAACCTCCTGCTCAAGCAGGGTCATCCCAGAGCACACGGCACAGGATTGTGTCCAGACAGTTCTGGAATATCTCCAGTGAGGAAGGCTCCACAACCTCTCTGGGCAATCCATCCCAGCGCTCAGTCACCCGCACAGTAAGGAAGTTCTTCCTCATACTCAGCTGGAACTTCCCGTGCATCAGTTTCTGCCCATTGCCCTGTGTCCTGGTGCTCGGCACCACTGAGGAGAGCCTGGATCCACCCCAACACCCTCCCTGCAGATACAGACACTGCTGAGCCCCCTCTCAGACATCTCTTCTCGAGGCTGAACAGGCCCAGCTCCCTCAGCCTTTCTTCACAAGAGATGTACCAGTCTCCAAATCATCCTCATTCCCCTCTGCTGGACACGCCCCAGCAGTTCCACATCTCTGTTTAACGAGGAGCCTGGAAATGGTTATGCCTCACCTGATGTGCCTCACCAGGGCTGAGGAGATGGGCAGGATCCCTCCCTCACCCTGCTGGCAATGCTTTTCCTAATGGACTCATTGCACAGATCCATACAGAAGCCTTGTGCAGCCCTAATCACTGGTGCGGCTCTCTCAGTGAATTTTTTTTCACCCCTTCTTTTTCCTACCTTGTTTTAATTTCTGATCACAAGCTAAAATCTCTCTACCTACCTTCATCTTTCCTCTCCTCAAGTGTTATCCCTTCACTAAGCCCATTCTTCTTTAGCCTCCTTTGTTTTCCTCTTTCCTTGTCATTCTTTCCCCCGTTCATTCTTCCACAGACATCCATAACCATGCTGTCTTCTCCCTTAAGAACCACGCACTCTCTCTCCAAAGTCAGAATCCAACACCACTGTTTTTCCTCTGCAATAATTATTATTTTATTTACCTCTTTTTAGAAACACACGTGGGGTGTCAGGTGCAGGCAACTGATATTTAAGCATCAGCTACTTAACTCAGATGTTACCTGTGATACACAGAGAGCGAGCCTACACAGCCTGGTAACTTCAACTGTGCTTCAATCCTCTGCAGCACGTCTGTGCTGTGCCAAACAATGGATCTGTGCTGCTCAAAGTCCTAAAAACAGCACCAAGCACCATCCAAACACACAGTGCCTTCCCAAGACATCTGTTCACCCAACATGTTTAAATTTTATTAAAAAACGGGAAAATACATTTTGAAACACAGTCACAGTTGCTTTATTGAACAGCTTAGATTTCAGCAAACACTTTAGACACCACCTTGCTGAAGGCAATTAAAACAAAAATTCCTGCTTGTGCCAGGGACTGCCACAATGAGAGGGTAAGTTCTTTGCCCCCCCAAGACTGCAAACTGGCTGGGAGCTGGATGGGGAAGCACACTGGACTTTTCGATACTCCAGGATTCTCATATTTTGTAGCATTTGAAGTACACTGCAGGACAACTGGCTTGCTGCAATCTTCAGGAGCTTCCTTGCTCCTTTGTTAGGGGGCAGGGTGTTTTTTTATCCCTCCTTTCAGAGTGTATCACCCTTTTAAACTACTGCTTCTACTCTGTCCTTTGTTCTCAAGTAATCAATCACCTTCCTACGCAGTTTATTGAAATTGGTGCTTGAGCACAATATATCCCTTTCCCTCTAAGTCAGAGATAGCTCATCCCCGCTGCAATAAAAAATCCTAACCTGTCCCATTATCCTCACAACACCTTGGTAAGGGATAACCCTTACCTACAGTTTTACAAAGAGGGAGCTCAGGTGCATGGCAGACTGATTTAGCCACAGCCACTTGGGAATTCTGTGGCCATATCACATATCCCAAGCTTTGGGCCAATGTACTGCACACCAGTCCACCCAAGCACATCTGCTTCTGACACTGTCCAAAGAAATGGGCACCAGTCAGCAGTGACCAACAACAGTGACAGTCAGCCATGGAAACCCAATACTCTCCCAAAGTGTGGGCCCATTTCTCAGGAAGAGAGGGCTCTTTCCGTTGTCTTATTACAGTAGCTCAATGCTACAGCATCCACTG